AGAGAGAGAGAGAGAGAGAGAGAGAGAGAGAGAGAGAGAGAGAGAGAGAGAGAGAGAGAGCAAGAGAGGCCATCGATAGGATCGGAATGAATCTTACAGTAGAATATGGAAATATACACTGCTTTCCAGCCATGAGATAGAGAGAGGCTACTTCCATCGATAGGATGAGCAAAATCGGAGTGAATCTTCCGCTAGAATATGGAAATATACACTGCCACTTTCTTTTACTTTTTTTTTTTTTTTTTTTGTGCGTGCGTGTGTTTGTGTGTGTGTGTGTGTGAGAGAGAGAGAGAGAGAGACAAAACAAACACGTCAGGCCCGCCGTGTCAGGCGCGTCAGACAAAAGAAAAGAAAACTAAAAACAATAAACAAAAATCACCGCAACTCGGAAACACGCACTCGATGGCCACTACAGGCTACTTTTCAGGATTCGAACGCCCGACCTCTTTTTCCAAAAGTAACGATAAAAGAAAGCAAAACTCAAAAAACAAAACGAAACGCTCGCCCAAAACAAAACAAACGCGTCGGGCGCGCCGCGTCAGGCGCGTCAGAATTTTACATCGGACGTCTCACTGAAAACAATCGCGCGTCAGAATTTTACATCGGACGTCTCATGCTAAGCGATGCAAAAAACACTAACGTGGACCATCGCAGAAGCGAGAGTCGCCCCGCGGCCTACTAAGTTTTAGTAGGGTTATTAGATATTAGATTAGATTAGATTAGATAGATAGATGCAGCTAACATCTGCATGCATACAGAGCTACACGCATGCATAGACATGACACACGCTCGTCTCAAACGGACAGACATGAGTCAGATGACATAAAAACTTGTGTCAAAGAACGCAGTTCAGCGCACTGACATACAGAATGCACAGACATGACAAAAAAGCTCCTGTTACAGAATGCACAGACATGACACAAAAGCTCCTGTTACAGAATGCACAGACAAGACACAAAAGCTCATCTCAAAGAATGTGTAGACGCCACGTCTACCTCCATGTTACCGTGTATACCCACTCTGTTGCTCGTGTCGTCAAAAAACGTACCCACTAAGAAATTTCTCAAAAGAGTTTCCTTGTAACGACACTCCTGTTTCTGTTATTTATGTGCAGTGTTACTGAATCGAACATTCTGGAGGGACCTTACCCAACCCCCGAACCTTCGGACTGTCCAGCGAGTTCCGGGGGCTCGGGGCTCGCCGAACCACAGCCCTTAAAAAAAAATATATTTTTTTTCTTCTTGAAGATACCCCCTGGGCCCCTGCTCATCTCCCCACCAAATTTCATGGCTTAATGATGAATTGAGGACTCCTGTGCTACCCCGCCATTTACTGATTGGTTTTTTTATTTCTTGACAAAAAGCTGGCACATTTCCAAGAGAGAGGAGAGGGCTGCAGGCAAAGAGCTCACAGCAAGAGTGACGAAAAAGGACCCAGCAACAATGAAAGGTCTTCTCCTCCCGAATCTCGACTGCAAGTTGTCACTCCAGGCACCAACAACTGGCTGAACCTGGCATTCAGAAAGGAAAGGACAATAAGACATGACAGGTAAGGAATATGTCATAATTGCAAAGAACCATGCAATGAGAACACCAATATTCCATCTTTTCCATGATATGGTATGCGGGGACAATCTGGACCCCACCAGCGCAGACAACATCCTTGTTGAGAAGAAGAGCGGCAGCATATCTTTGCACATCTAATGCAACTAAACCTCACTTCATCTCTAAGTAGCATGAAGTGAAAGCACGTCACTCGACGCATCCATCTTTTCCATGATATGGTATGACGGGACAATCTGGACCCCACCAGCGCAGACAACATCCTTATTGAGAAGAAGAGCGGCAGCATATCTTTGGACATCTAATGCAACTAAACCTCACTTGATCTCTAAAGTAGCATGGAAGCACGTCACTCGACCGAAAGAACAGAGAGGTCTGGGCATTTTGGATCCAGAACAACAGCTCAAGGCGCTCCAAACGAAATGCGTCGTTAAATTAATTTCCCATCAAAGGCTACCCTGGATCTCATTAGCACTTCATAGGATCAGACAAATGGCCAAATACAAAGCACCTCCGAATATGTCAGGATTGTTTTGTGTTATGCGTAGTACCTGGGCCAAGGTGGGCCGAAGAGAGGGCGACAGAGCTGACACAGAGGAGAGTCACAGGGCGACGTCGTATTGGTCTCAAATGCTGAAGCTGTGGAAGGAGATCTTCCCGGCCAAGATAAGAGAACCACGTACGAGAGAAGAGGTTCTTCGGCAACCGTTATTTTGTAACTCGAGTATTAAGGATGAACAGGGGAAACCATTCACACTTGCTGCTAAGGATTCTAAATGGGGGAAGTGGTTAGAGTATGGGGTATGGCAAGTTAAGCACCTATGGGTAGAGGGGGAAAAGTGATGGAAGACAGATAAGGAGCTTAGGGTCGAACTTAAAGGATGCCATAAACTATCGGAGAACTACAAAACTCTGTTAGCAGCCATACCACAAGGGTGGACGGAGCTACTACGGAAGGGAATACAGTGGGGCCTGGGAGACTGGGCCAAATGGCTACATGACAAGGAACCAAGCAGCTTTTAGAATCTGGGATCAGGAGCCAACAAGAAAGGAATGGCTTCAGGCGGACATGTACAATATTTTAAATCTGGGTAGTACCACTAGCACACTAGACCGGGACTCTAAAACCCCAATCACTATCCTATGGCAGCACCTACGTAAAGTGAGAGTGGGGGGGACGGAGGACTATACAATATTCTGCCCGACTACACCGGTAGAGGAACTGGAGGTGGACCCGGGGGAATGGGCTTGGAAAATTAGAGGTGGAAGAATGGGAGTAGCCAGAAGGGTCAACATACTACATTACACCACTCGAATCGGTTATAGACTGCGAAGGAGATCTCATTCCCTGACGGCATCGCTATCAAAGCGCTGGGAAAACAGGGTAGGGGTGTTACCGAATCAAATTCCCAAAATGCCATGGATGGGGATCAACTCTATACGCTTGGGCAGGGTCAGAAGTATTCAGTGGCTAATAGCTCATGTGGCACTCCCGGTAAATGCATGGCTAAACGAGAGGAGTAGTCAAGCCCAGAGGGACCCAGATAAAGCTCGCTGCACAGTATGCCAAGCAGGGTCCCCGGAGACTATGCTGCACTGTCTGTTGGAATGTGTGGAGGCGAACAGTTTATGGGAGGAAGCCAGGACTATATGGAGCTGCTTCTCACGGGCTCCCTTTCCGGTGATCAAGACCACTCTACTTTTGGGAATAGATTTTCCAAGGCAATGGCAACAATATGAGAAGCACATCTTTCAACTCATAAGGCAATACAGCCTCTGGGCTATCTGGAAACAGCGATGCCAAATCACTCTTGAAAAGCGGTCAATGCATAGGCAGGAGGCAAAGGAAATATTCATCACCCTAATCGAAACTGATCTGCGCGCACAATGGAAGAGGGTGGGGAGTCAATGCCAGCAACACCCCGAAAAGGCAGAGGAACATAGGTCCAGATTCATCCAGAACGTACGGGGCCAAGGGGAAGTAGCTAGTATTCAGAGTGGGAAACTGAGATTAAACGGAGAACGGAGAAATCGGGAGCAAAGTAGACAGTCAATGGTTAAGGGGGCACAGTAAAAGTTTACAGCAAGGCCCAAGGGGGGATGGCTATGGCCCTGTAAGTCTGGAAAGACACAGAGGAAGCGAGGTTGTAGAGGAAAGCGGAAGTCGAACAGCGGCAGAAGGGTATAGGGAGTAAGGAGAGGAAAGGAGGAAAAAAGGAGTAGAGGGAAACAGGGATGGGGTTTGAAGGAGGCAGGGGGGTTTAATTCCTTAAGTCAAAGGATCTCTACACTTTAGTTACTGTTCGGGGGTAGGAAGAACAATTAAGGGTCAAAGGGTTTAGGGTTTAAGAAGAAGAGGATAGAAAGGGGGTCCAGCCCGCTCTAGCATAACATGCAAACTTGACAGCACCACAGCTGAGAGGAGTGGGGATGGGGTTAGACAGATTGGAGACAGCCAGGTAGATTAAATAGTACAGGCTAACTCATGCAGGGGGGAGAGGGGGCACATCCTTCCTCGGGGAAGTAATCAATGCCGTCTACTCGGGCCTCCCACCCATAATCGGGAGGAGAGTGAATTTTTCATGTATTTCAATTTGACTTGCCGGGGGAACAGGAACCGGACTGTCACTCCCCAGAATGGCAGGAGCCAGAACTAAGAGGTTCTGTTTAAAAAAAAAAAAAAAAAACAAAGAAAGAAAGAAAGAGAACACCAATATTCCAGATTGCAAAATCTCACAGAATATGAAACATGATTGAGCCGAGTTGAAAACCAAAAACCAGAGTGAAATGCACACCAATAAGGAGCAAACAAAACCCCGAAGTCTCTTGATAAAGAAAGCCCGTCATCTGCCTCCAATCATCAGTAGAACAACAATTTAGTAGCACTACTTGCGGTATGCCCACCCTAATCTACAACCGCTCTCACAGTCCACGTGTCAATCGCCCAATGCCGCTTGAAGACTCTGCTCATGCAGGCTTCCTCCGCCAGCACCAGGTAAGAATGGCCAGTCCCACTGCCTTCCTTCTTCCCTTATCTCCACACTTCGCCATCAAGCTTCACTACAGCCATCACAGCTGCTCCCTTCTCCGTGCAATGCCTCTGCTTACTGCGAACAGCACCCAGGCAATGCAGCCTCCTGCCGCAATGTGCTTTGCCTGGCAGCCTCCAGACTCTTGTGCTGGAGAGGAGGTTGCATCCAGACCCAGTAGGCAGTACCTGCAGCCCAATGGGACTGTGTCCAGGTCCCAGCCACTGTAACTAACTCACAGTTTGGGCCTACCAGTTAGTTACAAGGGCTGGTGCCTGTCACCAAACACAAGGACCCCCTTGCCAGCCTTCACTTAGGGCCAGCGTGAATTTTGCAGGCCCGGCTTCACTTAGGGCAGCCTGGACTCTTTTCCAGCGGCAGCCTGAGCCGCGGAGGCCTGGAGCCTCGCAACATCCTTCCAAAACTTTTGATATGCGTCCACGTAATCTTCCTGGAAACTACACTCTGCACTACCACTAGCATCTGTAACAGTGGTGGACCCACTAGTTGTATCAGCTGGTGTAGAGCTGCAGCTCGAGTGGCAGCTGGAATTGTGACAGTGGCCGAGCCATGGAACCAGTGGAAGTGATGGGAGCCACCATTCCCGACGGCGGGCGCCTAGCCACAGTGACAGGGAGTGCCCAGCATGCTAACTGGCCCACCGGTATTCTTTGCCCAAGTGGCTGTTTGATCGAGTGGTGAGTTTGACTGGAATTACTACTCTGTTAGATGGTCAAAGCTTAAAATATAAAGAAAGTGGTAGAGTGTCATCCTATTTATTCGGAAAGGATTGACAAGGAATCTTTGAATTCTCAACAAGAGGGAAGTCAAATTCAATGAGCTTACTTCTATGGACTGCCCATTGTCCCACAGGGAATTGAGTGAAGTTTTCTCTATGCTAGAAATTAGAAGACATGGCCATTTAACCTGTATCTCCTCTGAAAGATACCCTCAACACAGCTACCGTGACCATATATTCCATTCAGGGAAAGGCGGAGCAGTATAGCATCTTCAAAAAGCTGTGATAGCAGTCTTCAAAAAGCTGTGATAGCAGTAGCACCAGCACAAGGAGTACCAGGTAGAACAAGAGTAGTGTCAATGGTGACCTACGGCTAACCCCTCTGACTGGAATCTACAACCAATGTTAAGTTGAGCACCACCTCCTCAACAGCCAATGTTACATTAACGAACTCGTACTTTTTTCTGTACTGCTCTTGCTTTTGCAGGATACCATTCGCGTTTGCGGCCTATGGTCATTCTCTGGAATCTCCTCAGAGTTGGACTTTGTCAAGAAAAAGTTGCCATGTGTTATGGTGCGCACAATTGAAGCTGGTTTATCTGGAGCCATGACAAAATTCAACAGAACTCACAATGCATTTGGCATTAGTCTCTAAGAGTCTGAGGAAGTCTTCTAATCCATAACACAAAGAATACAAGAACAGACAAAATTGGATGATTGGACAGGACCTCAATTTCCAGGAAAAGAATTCCTAGGCTTCGGCTGGCTTTCCCAAAAAAAAAAAAAAATCAATCCAATTCAATTCAATTCAATCGTACATTTGTTGAAGCACGGCACTTGATACAACCATGTGAAGGACTTCGGCAAAATGACTTCCTAACGTCGGGGGATGGAAATCATGGAATGCTTTTATTTCCAAAGCAAACAAATGTCAGCACAGCACAGGGGGTAGTGACTGTTACTAAGAACAAAGGACTCTGCTAAGTGGCAACGTTCTTTTCCGAGATAATTAGCACACATTAAAGCGCAGCAGAATACCTCAGATGGTAAAGATAAGAGAACACGTGAGGAGGGCCAGCGGCCTAGCTCAGTTGGTAGAGCACGAAAGCGGCATTCAGGAGGTTGTGGGCTCACCGCGGGCCAGCGGCCTAGCTCGATTCCCCGTGACTTCCGTTCTACCCTCACGGCCTCCTGCGCCGCACTGCAGGTTCACCAGCTGAGACAGTCGGCTTCCCCCCACCTGGTTGGTCTCGGTAGGGGTATCCCTTACCCCTTCCATCCTTTACCAGGGGTTAGGACCAACCCAGCGATGCTTTGGAATGGGAGGAGGATGGTGCTATCGAATTTCTTGATCGTATGCTAAGACAGGTAGGTAGTGTGAGGTATAGTTGAGAGAAGAATACAGCTTAGTTTTAAATAATAAGAGAGAGAGAGAGAGAGAGAGAGAGAGAGAGAGAGAGAGAGAGAGAGAGAGAACATATGATGTCCCAGGAACAACTCCACCCCTCTTATGTCCAATTCACAGATCCATACATGAAACAGGGACCGGTCAATGGCGAAATTCCCCCGCAAGCACCAATAGCAATGTGCCCGAGGCAGGGAAGCGCAGACGACTCACCAAAATTCCAGAGATAGGTCCACAAAGCCACACAAAGGACGCCCATTTATGCTCCACGCCTAAGGTCTGGCCACATGCAGAAAAACAGCTCGTTCAGCAGCAGCAGCAGCACCAGCAAGAGCAGCACTAACAGGAGGAGGAGGAGGAGAATGCCGAGGGCAGCAAAAGGAGCAGCAACACGAGGACACCAACAGCAGCAGAAGCACTGGCAAGAGCAGCAGCAACAGGAGGAGGACAATGGGAAGGGCAATTGATGTTGTGTGTCCTGCCCCATTTTTTTTCCTTTTCTCTCTTTTCTAACGGCCATTGTGCAATCAGACTCGTTTTCAAACACACTTTTCATGCATGTGAACAGCAACGCAGCATACTGGCGACATGCGCCCACTCAAAACTCAGAGATATGGCTTTCAGATACGAGTTCACTCTCAATTGGCTACGGCGACTTCAGCGCCCAAACATCTCACTGTTCACATACACTGGATCACCCTGGATATCCCACACGCATCACTCTAACACTCGAACACA